TCAAGCCAAAGACTCTTAAATAATTCTGGTCCTGAAGACCAAGGCCTAAACAAGTCCTTGCTCAAAATTTTGCTTATTTGTGGGGAAAAGGGATGGGAGTCAATGAACCTCATTTCAGGCAATTTACCAAATTTCAGGAGGGAGAGATATCAGAAGTAGAAGAGAGAAGAAGAGGAGATCTGAGATGTGTAGGGGAGCCAGGAATACGCCTTTGGTCTATTCCCAAATTCCGGAAACTAAGGCAGCAGGGAGACCAAGTTGTGCAAATCTGTTTGGTGTACTTTGGATTTGTTTTCTCTTGAAACCACTTGCTGGCTAATACTGGAATAGAGTGTGTGTGTGTTGGGGGAATTTGCTTGGGTCCTCTAGGTCTACTTTCTCCTTAATGGTGCCCCAGAGACAGCAAAACATTATGCCTACAGTGTGAGGAAACAGGGCCAACAATGATCTGGAGTTATTTTATGTAATCAAGTGAATTAGGGACCAAAGATGACTAACCCTTATTATCTTAAGGCAATTGACTTTGGGTAGGAAAGGGGAGTGTGTATAGCTGTGTTTGGGAAAGGGAAAGAAGGTCTGAGGGGCTGGTCAGAGTGTTTTCTAGGAAGCTGAGATAGAAAGGAGAAAATAAGAAAAAAGGAAATGAGGATCCATAGTCCTTTCCTAAGTTTTTCCTTTGGCTTTGAGTTTATCTACCCTTTCCCTGAAGGTGGAAAGAGAAGAGCAAAGAGGGGGAAATCATTATATTTTATTCCTTCAGTTTCTGCCTGAACTTGCTGAAGGGACACTCTTCAGTTCAGAAAAAAAAAAAAGCAGCATAGAAGTGTTGGGACATTTATTTTATTTCCCCTTCTTTATGGGCTTCTGTTTCTTGGTCCTCTTCACACACACACACACACACACACACACAGAGTCATTCTCTGTCTCCTATCCCTCTTGATCTATAAAGGGGAAATATAAAAAATCTCTTAAGTTTTGACAAATGAAACAAAACTAGAACCCCTTACATTTAAGTTGTGAAGATCTTGCCCTCTGGCCTTCTCTCCAGAGGTTCCCTTCTCTCCTCTATCCCCAAAGCTTTCCTTTGCCTTGGACCTGACCACCCAGAATAGGAGGAAGCTGCCAGGGGAGGGGTGGGTGAGGGAGGGGGCCAGCCTGGCCAGCAGAGGAGGGGGCACCCTAGCTCAGCCTCCTCGGTCTGCCTGATGCTGCTGTAGCCTCACTGCGAAGTGGAGGACTGGGGTTTTTATTGAAGTTGGGTTGAGCTGTGGGGAAAGGCTGGGGGGAGGATGCAGCCCAGGTTCACGGGGAGGGCACAGCATTTTCTCTCCCATCGCCTTTATATTCGGCAGCGCCTCTGACCTCTCCCCCACCCCCATCCCTAACCCTCCCAAGCCAGCCCTTGCTCAGCCCCTGGTCTCCAGATAGGATGCCATTGCTTTTGTAGAGCTGGGGGTTTCTTGCCCAGAGTTATGGGAGAGGCAAGGCGCAATGAATGCCTGCTAGCGCATTGTATCTCTCTCTCTCCAATGGCTAAATAAAAAGAAGACAGGATGAATCGGCGACCAATATTCCAAGGTCCTTCTCTCCAAGCACCGGGAGATCCCCGCAAGTCAAAAATCCCCTTGACATGTAAGTAGTTAGCACTTGATCTGCTCTGGGGCTAAGGAGGCACAAATGTTTAAACTCTATCGCTGTTTGCCACTCAATTTTTATCTCAACTCACACTTAGGGAGAGATGGCGGGAAATGTAGTCATGAACAGCGGGGTTCTGCTTGGGACTTGGGGAAAATGAAGTGCAGGTACCTGGAAAGTGAAGAACCTTGGCTCAGGAAAGGAGGGAGGAAGCCCAGAAAATGAGACTAGAGGAAGAGGTCTGGGGAACTTTGTTCCTCTGAGGGCTTCTCACTGCTGTTTGTGTGAAGTTCCTACAAAGTTTTCTCCATGAACGGTGCATCAGCCTTCTCTGTGTATGGACTTGGCAGAATGGAATCCAGGGACAACTAACTGCCTGCTGTTAATGGGATGTGTGTGTATGTATTTAGTGGGGGAGTCACAAGGAGGGTAAAACAATTCAGGGATTCACAGGAGATTGGGGCTGGTGTGTTCTGTGCTAGGCATGGTTTGTCTGCTTTTCCTGGGATTATGGGGAACTAGCTCCAAAGGGAGCTCCTGGGATCAAGGGGGCTGTGACAGAGAGGCACGCACACTGGGACAAATCCACTATCTTTCTCTCTGCTTTTTTGTCCAGTCTTGGAAGAGCATGGCTCTGCCCTCACAAAGATACTTCTTGGGGTTTCCCACAGTTTCTACCCAGCACCCCACCTTTGGAGAACTAATTCTAATTTAAAGCCTCCCCTTCCAAGAAATCTCTCCCAGGCTGGAAAAAAGAGAGGGAGGATCCCCAGTCCCAGCGGCCACCAGAGAAGAAAGAATATTTATTACCTCTCTGGATGTCATTACCTAAGAATACAATTTTATGAACTTCCTAATCTGTTATCTTGATTTATCTGGATGGGCAGGAGCCCAAAATAAACATTTGGGGGACTTGGGGGGGGCAGTCTTTGCCGCTGACCAATCTTCCTCATAGAACTGACCACTCCTCTCACCCTGCTTTTCTGCACCCTCCATTGCCTTTCCCATTTTGATTTTTTTTCTTGTAATGCGTGGTTAGGTCCAGAGGTCCAAGTTTTAGCTGCCTCCTCAGGATTAAAAATGGTGGGATGCACTGTTTAAACCACAGGACTTAAGGGGTCCCTCAGCCGCCTTCAAACTTGTGCAGCTCAAAGATCTGGGATTCCTTGTGGATCTGGGGGGCAGAAAGAAGCCTATCCAGTATTTTCTCATCTGGCCTTTAGGGCCAGGAGTTCCTTCTCAGACCTGGCTCTCACTCTACATGCCTCAAGGCTTTTTCTTCTTTCTGGCGTCAGCGCTGTAGGTTCTTCAACACTGGCTGACCCCAAGTCCATGCAAGCAGGAGTAAGGGCTTCTGCAACTCCATCTTCCTGCTTCCCATCCTGGCCAGGCCCACTGATAAATCAGAAGTGGAGGCCGGGATGGCTCCTACCTATATAGAGGATCTCAGAGTGGGTTTGAGGGTACAGGCTTACAGAGTCCAATAAAAAGGAAAGCTCTGTTTTAAATTTCCAGTCCCCATCAGCAATTACCAGCTTCCCTAATATCTAAGATTCTCTAGGTTCTGCTTTTCCGGCCTTTCCGACCCCCTCTCTCTCCAGCATCTGAGCCTGGGAGAGAGGCGTATATTTGAATTTCTGGGCGGCGAAACCCTAAAACATAAAGTGTACAAAGCACTGCCACATGGCCCAACCTTAAGTCTCCTTTCCCAGCCTCTGGCTTCCGGGAAACTACGAGTGAGAATGAAGCACTATGTGCCCGTCCTCATCAGGGGTCTCAGCCCTCCTTCTCCGAGCTGCCGGGGTCCTGGGGATCGCAAAGTGGGGCTAGCGGCGCAAAGGCGAGGAGCGAGAGGCCGGCGATAGCCGGGCTCCTCCGGCTTCCAGGTCTGCGTCTCTGCTCCGGGTGCGGTGTAGCCTTCGGCTGGGTCACGACCCCGGAGCTTGGAAAGCGGACAATAGGGAGCGGGCGGGGACCGCGGGGTGCGTGGGCCGCCGGCCAGTTCACTACTAGGTGATCTCTGCGCAGCCTGGGGGTCTCGTCCTTTAGAACCCAACCCCCTCTTTCTTTCCCCAATACCTTATACCATCTTCCTTTTTTTTTTTTCCGCGGACAACTGAACGGGCTTTTAGGACGGCTTCTGGACCAGTAATTTACCGCCGCCACCACCACATAAGGAGATTCCATATCTTTAGAAATGAGAGTTTTCTAGAAGTTCTAAGCAGAAAATGGAACCCTCTCAAGATCTCTGTAGGGATGGAGAGGGGAAATGTAGCTATCAGTAGAAGGATTCCTGACCAAAAGTCACTGAGGAAGTTCAGGCTAAGAATGGATTTCTCCTGAATCACAGGGAGAATGATTCTGGCCTTTGTCCATGGATGCTAGGTTAGGATTAAGGCTTTTGTATAAAAGGAGAAATCCTTCTCAAATCCGTGGACAGGGAGAGGGCTGGGCTACTGATGGCGGGTGGGGTAGAGAGGTGAGTCAC